GCCATATATTGAAACATGCATTTACACTGAAACTATAGGTAAATCTTATCAGGAAAGGTCCTTCCTGTAAAGAAATTAAGCTGTAACATATTCTCAGTCATTTGTAATCATTTAGAAAAAAACATCCGATCTTGATTTTAGAAGTTTCAAGGCTGATTATTTTTTGGAAAAAACACCACTGTGACCTGTGGCACAGGTCATGATAATCTCTTCTACCAATCATATCTATCAATTTACTAATTTCACACAACATAAAACAAATTGATGATAGCTGCATTAATAAGAAATCCAACTCTTGGCCTACAGTGTTGACTTTTTTTTTCTTGTCAGTAGCCTTTCTTACTGAAAAAGAAGTTATTAACTTAGAATATGAACTTAGTTATTGAGAATTAAACTTAGTTATTAAGAATTGAAATAACCTAGTTAACCATCTTCTCCTACCACACCCTGCAACTTATGGGATTTGTTGGTATCACAGACTTTACTTCACTTGTTTAATGGACTCTTCCCACAGTTTTGCCCATCTTTTCTACTTCAAACATGCTTGCAGAAAAGTTTTTAAAATCCACTTTTCCACAGCATACTAAACAGAGTCTAGCAGAAGACGAAGTTACTCTTGGCTTAAGTTGTTGTTGATTTTGTTTAAATTTTATTAGTTCTACCATGCCTGAAAGATTTTCTGTCTTGCATTCACCTATACCTTTCCTCAAGGAATAACAAGTCTAGCGAGGACTTCTGGAGTGCAGTGAACACTGTTCATGTTGTGTCCATCGCCAAAATGCAGCAGACATCAGTCGAGTTTGCTGTCTACCCAGTGATTAACAGCTGAGAAACTTTTATTTACAGCTGATTTAATCTGTTCCAGTGGCATGGAATTCTAGCATGCAAATGCAAGCACATTCTTTCCCAATTGCAAGATCCTGCATCTGGGCCAGGCCAATCCCAAATACAGGCTGGGCAGAGAATGAACTGAGTGCAGCCCTGAGGAGAAGGACCTGGGGGTGTAGGTTGGTGAGAAGCTCAACATAAGCTAGCAATATGCACTTGCAGTCCAGAAAGCTAACTGTATCCTGGGCTGCATCAAAAGAAGTGTGGCCAGCAGGTTGAGGGAGGTGATTATCCCCCTCTTCCTGTTCTAGTGAGACCCAACTTGGAGTACTGCCTTCAGCTCTGGGACCCCCAGTGTAAGAAGGACATGAAGGTATTAGAGCAGGTCCAGAGGAGGGCCACAGAGATCATCAAGGGGCTGGAGCACCTCTCTTCTGAAGACAGGCTGAGAGAAATGGGGATGTTCAGTCGGGAGAAGAGAAGGCTCTGGGGAGACATTATAGCAGCCTTCCACTACCTAAAGGGGGCCTACAGGAAAGCTGGGTAAGGACTCTTTGTTAGAGAGTGTAATGATGGGACAAGGAGTCATGGCTTTAAACTAAAAGAGGGTAGGTTTAGATTAGATATAAGGAAGAAATTCTTTCCTATGAGAGTGGTGAAGCACTGGAACAGGTTGCCCGGAGAAGCTGTGGATGCCCCATCCCTGGAACTGTTTAAGGCCGTGTTAGATGGGCCTTTGAGCAACCTGGTCTGGTGGGAGGTGTCCCTGCCCATGTCAGTGGGTTTGGAACTAGATGATCTCTAAGGTCCCTTACAATCCAAACCATTCTGTGATTCTACAAATGGGTCAGGATTTGTGTTTGTCCCCGGATTTGATAGTATTTCTCAGTTTGACAACTAACAATTCTCCTGAAAGAAAGCAGAATTTATATATAACTTTTTTTCACATGTAGTGGAATAAAGATTAATATTTTTAATTGCAATCAACCTTTTTGTTTACACAGGATTCACAGTCTGGCTTGTCCTGGAGATGAGTTGGAGCAGTGTACAAAAGGGTGCTGTTATGAGATTTCAATTCTGCTGGCTTCATAAGCACAAGCACACATTCTGAAAATTGCATTCTGAGATTCACATCCAAAAAAACCTGCTCTGGTCTCTACCACTTGTGCCTATTTCATCTTTCCATGACCCTTTGTCTCAAGCATCTCAGCTTGCCTGAGAGAACCACAAAATTGTTCCATGTCTCTCTCCCTTCCATGCCCCTCTTCCTCATGGCCACATCCATTACTTGATTGTTTATTTGCAACAAACCTGGCTATCTACTTCCAGTCTTCTCACATGAAGGGGTAGCATGAGGTTCCATCTTGTTTCACAGTCTTTTCTCACCATGGTACTGCTCCACAGCTCAGCTTATTCCCTTCTGAGTATGTGACAAGAATCCTTCTCAAAATTTCCTGAGTAACGTCAAGGCAACTTTCCTAACCCAGTATCAATGAGTTCAACAAAACTGGAAAAGAAACCGCTGCAAGGAAAAAAAATCTTTCCATCTACACAGCCCCTGAACTTGATTTCAACAGAATTTTCCACAAAAACAAAACAAAACAAAACATCTTGATGAATAAACTAGTGTGGAAAATTTAGGCTTGAATAAATTTTCGAAGTTCAAACTATGGTAACTGACAAACTGTTTCATATTTAGTAGTAGTGAAGCACCTTAATTACACATAACATGAGCAACTCTAATAGAAAATGGACACAAAAAACAGGTACATAAACAATAGAATATATGTGTATATATGTATATAAATATACATACACATGTATATATATTAAAACAAGGTATCTGTATATATATATATAGTAATATAATATGCATATATTCTCTTTTGCCCAGAGAAGTTGTGGATGCCCCATCCCCGGAGGTGTTCAAGGCCAGGTTGGATGGGGCCTTGGGCAACCTGGTCTAGTGGGTGGCATCCCTGCCTATGGCAGGGGGGTTGGAACTAGGTGATCTTTAAGGTCCCTTCCAATCCAAGGCATTCTATGATTCTGTGATATATAATAGACATAATTTATTCAAACATACTGAAGTCTTAGGTCTAGTCTGTTATAAAAACTGTACACGATAAATCAACCTGATTCACTATTAAATTCATTGCTGTTTTTCAGGAAACTTAACATTTTCCTTTGCATACACAAGAAAAAAAAAATCATTTCCATGGCATCTTTATGAGAAACTCAACTTAACATGATTTAATTAAGTGTTGGAATTAGCACAAAATTACAGATCAGGACTCCTACTCCTCATCAAGTCGCTTAAGAGACAGAGAAACAGTTAGACACCAAATTGTCCCAGATACGGAAATCTTTTAACTACACGTTCATAAACCAGGCCATTATCCTCTTCTACTTATACAGTAAGAATGATGTGAAATTGACCACAGTAAGATGTTAAAAGCCCTGAATGAAAATAATTTAGAATAGACAAAAGGCATTACTTTAATATAATATATAACTAGCCTGCAATATAGTTTGTTAATGTTTCCTGACTTACAGCAGACAGCGCAGACTGCTGCACTTAAATTTATTAAAATACCCCACATTTGAGTAAATACAACATGCAAGACCAATAGCATGGGTAATAATGTTACCATTAATACCATTAATAACCACATTGCTATCCATGACATCAGTCCCAAATTCATACACATGTATACTTCATATGTTCAAAGATCATTATAGGTTCTATAATTAATATTTACTGTCTCACTAGAAACAAATATGCGCTTGTGGAAATCCCAGTGTGTCAAGTCCCAAAACAGAGAACTGTATGCAGAAAGGACAAAAATGTTCCTCTTGGAAGAACATTTCCCAGCTTTATGTTCTGTGCTAGCCTCGTGCTTGTTTATCCTTACTGCAGCGAAAGTTTTGAACGCACTAACTGCACGTGGACTTTAAATGAACACTCAGGAGCAAGTTTCTACCCAGAGAGGCAGAATCTTAATGCTTGTAGCAACATGATCAATCTTTTAATTTGCTACAGCCAGAACGGAAACTGAGTCCAAGCAAAAGGTCAGAACAGGCATTTTATATTCTCTGTTAAAGGAGAGGAGGAAAAAAAATGTCTTTGAGGAGTAAAGTAAGTAGCTAATGAGACACAGCACTGACAGCTGGAATTTAATAAGTATCCCCTTCACAAGGAAAATTGCTCTTAGTAATTAAATACAGGTATCACGCAAAGCTTCTGCTTAGAACCAGACTTCAAAATCTTTCTGTCAGTAGGACTGAAGGGGTTTTACATCCCAGGTAATATAAGGGTGAGTTTGCCTGGGAGGCTAGTCCTAAATGAAGAGGGTTAATTGCGTAAAATTCACAGTCATGTCAGTGGTAAATAATTCCAAAGGGACTTGTTCAGATAGTAGTCTGGCAATACTGAAAAACAGACTGCAACTAAAAAGACCTGTTATAAAGTCCGCCAAAACCTGAGACATATTAAAAGTTTATTAGTCATTTCAGAACTAAAATGCTAACACAATCTTTTTAGAGGGATCCAAAATTCTTTATTTTCCAGGTCTGTAGGGCCATAAAACTTTACCTGAGAAAATTTTAAACAATCTTCTAATTAATCACAGAATTTTATAACCTCTCACAAGCTGTACGTAAAACATTAACAAGGTAGGGAGAAGGAAGCCCTGTTTGTACTATGCATGATTCTCAGTCCAGCTGACATACCCCACTAGATGAACCACGTTAGAATTTAACATCAGTCTGAGATTATAATGGATACTACCACACGGAGATGGTACTTCATGTATGGGACTGCATGCCTGTAAATGAAGGAAGGTACAAGTCTCTAAATTACTGTGAACATCTGGCAGGGCAGAGTCTAAGTATATTTCTGTAATTTGTAACAACGCCATCAAAATATGACCATGTAACATATTCTCAACTTAATACAACTCAGATCCATAGAAAGACATCTTGATTCTTACATAATTAGTAGTCCAATGGAACTGTGTTGGTATCAGGAGAAGAAAGAATTTTAAGTATCTACATGGGTCAGTGCTTTTACCAGGTAGAATTGCATTTACTCTGGTATACATAACATAATTACACAGCTGTAATTACTGCAGTGTAAAAGAGCTCTGACTCTGAAATACGTCTCAACCTACCTCATAGAACATAGGCACATCCTTAACCTTTTTTCCCTTCTGATTTCCAGATTCTGCGATCTGTAAGGAAATAAGGTATTATATTGTGAGTAGATTTTAAATGTAAACAAATTATTTTACTCGTTATTCTCTTTCACTAAACGCTACAGTCACACTCTAAATTGGTAAGGAATCATCTTAAAGTACCCATGTATCTTAGGGAGAGAGCTTTGATGACCAGCATCTTGAAGAAAAGTCTGCAGAAAACCCCAGTGTTTGCAAGGGGCAGACCAGCTTATGCAGTACGCTTTTCTTCTTCCATTTTCTCATGAATTAGTGTAATTATTAAAACTTCCACAGAGAATTTAAATAGAGTTTGGTTTGTTATTAAAAGTTGATTTATTGGAATACCTGTCTGAATATATCTTCACGTGTCACCACGCTGAAGAGCTTCCGTTGTGGCACCTGCACAGCAAGAGACAAGGCCGTCGTGTGGATTTCATCCTCAATTTTGGTCCCAACCACAAAAGCGATGCTAGGCTTCCAGTTATCCTATTTACAAAATAAAATATTGAATGCATTAGAACAAAAGCACACAAAATGCTTCTCTGCAGTTTCAAGGAGTAAGCCTGCAGAGATGACTACTCTCTTTAAGACATGTTCAACATTAAAATATGAATCACACTGAAATAAATTATACAATCCCAAAAAGCACGTACAGCTTTGTCCCAATTCTTTCTTCCATCAGGTGGCAGCATTATGCTGTGGAAAACACAAACGCCTAGAAACACTCCAAAAACCTCCGCACAGGCAAAAGCCGCATTAGCATCACACAAAGATAAAAGAACTTTAAAACGTTATTTGGAGATTTCACATTTTGGTAAACAAACAAGAAATAGAGTTTTAAATGTATGTGTTTATACTGTTGTCATTCTTTGCTCTAGAAAAAATAAACAATTTTCAGCCCAGAACTATTTTCTAATTTCTAATTGCAGCATGGTTTGTACTGTGTTTCAGGAGGTTATGTTTACTCATGCTATCATTCTTACATGCTTTCAGTAAGTGTTCTGAAACATGAAAAAATCTGTATCAATGGCAAGTTATATTTCATGACAATGTCAACAAATAAAAAACACTAGCAGCTTGCAAACATCTGCAGGAAAATACGCATTTTTAAGAAGGAAAGTTTGTTTTCAGCATAAAAGAAACGCACAGCAAGAGAAGATTGTAGCAAGTTACTTATGGATATACATCCACAAAAGCTTTAAAATGATGTAATTTAAGCAACTGGTTACTCTTCTTCTCCACCTACTTCTTTTACTCTAACCTACTGGAATCCCTCTAGGAAAATGAGCAGCTGTCTCCAGCACATCTACATCTCTCTCTAGTCTTCTCTATCAGCATCAGTGACACCTTAAGCACTTCTAGGTGTTGTGCTTTCCACTCTTCAGGATGCATCATTTTTATTTTTTTTATAAAGTTCAATGTTCTCATGTGTAAACTGCAAGGATGTCAATAAAACCTAACAAAGGTCAACATGGAAAGAGCATCAGTAAGACCCAGGTGGTCCCAGGGCATTGTCACACACTAACCAGGACCAGCTTAAGCAGACTCACATGCCAATCAGTACACATCACGGCAGGGAAAGATTTTAAAGACAAATTTAAGAAAGGTTGGTAGCTTTAGGACTTTGATGGGAATAATTTCATATGCATATATCATGTACGGTGTATATGCACATACTTGCAGAAAAGAGGAACACAGCTTGAGTTTATGGTAAAGTGAGGGAAAGGAGCCTTCAAAAAAAAGTGGGATGGAAGTGGTGAGAGGAGATATTTATCTCTTTCCTGTTGTAAAACACCCTTCCTCATTTGTTCCTTTTCATATCTGGAAAAAAAGAATATCCTACCCTAAATGTTTGCAATTTGACTAACTGATGACTTTAGGTGGGAGAAAGTGACAGGTGACGTGATGTAAGTTTCAAACTAGTTGTAAGTTTCAAGTAAGTAGTAAGTTTCAAACTAGCTTGCAATGTTTTATCATACTCTTCAGGTAACAAAACATAATGTTGCTTAAACATGGCATAACATGATTATACAAAAGTGCCCCTCTTTTTAACCACATAGCTGCTGGTGGAAAGTATTCTGAAAGAGCTTGGTATTTCACCATCAAAACATGTGTACAGGAGCTGCAGTTAATCTGAATTCAAATTAAAGTTGTCATCGTATAGCTGCCAAGAGTTTGACTCAAAACTAATTATTTGAACAACGCACATGGATGTCCATACTTGTGTGCAAATGTACTAATTTTTAGGCTTTTGGAATTGCAAAATGTCAAGATCAAAAGGCCCCCATGTGGTGGCATCCTGGTGTTCCCATAGCTTGTGAGAAAAGCTACATCTGCATGCTGTGTGAATTAACGGAGCAAGTGGTATCACCAGAATGTCCTCTTCAGTGTGAGCCACCAGAAGAGAAGCATGGGGCCCTGCAAGTGACACAGACACACAGTGACAGCACAGAAAGTGCACCATACTCAGGAATTAGGGTTTAGATTTGTGGTGAGGCATGGTACAGCAGCAACAGAGCCTGTTCCTACAACTTCCTCCAGTTCTTTGGATGTGTGAAGAAATCTCTGTCAGAGTCCTAAAACCTCTACCTTATGACTTTAGTTCCTCCTTAGAACATGCTGGTGTCTCTGTGCCCACACCTGCTTAGGACTGGTTAACATCCTGCTACCACGATGTCTGTGAAACGTGTCTTCCTCAGAGACCTGTCTCTTCTTGACCTCTCCACCCCTTCCTCACAATGGTTGCTAGCTCATTTCTCCTTCCATTTCCACTCCCTGCTCCTTGTCAGAGTGCCATAACTTCTCCAAATCCTTCACACATCCTTTACTTGCACCCCTAGCATCATCTTTTCCTCAGTTCCTTGTCCAGCTAGTTCCTAAGGTTCATCATCTGACCCTATTTCCACATTTCTCAACACTTATATTCCTTGTTAAATTCCTAGCACCTGTAATATTTTCCCAGGCACTTTCAGAGTTCTGTCTGAGTAATGAGACTTTCTCTTTTGCAACACTGCTGCATTCCCAGGGAAGGCACCAGAAGCAATGGAGTGAATTTTCCAGGTTTCCACTGTGGTGGCCACCTTCACAGCACCCCATGACAACAAAGCAAAACATCAGGGTAAATCCTGCTTTTGAAAAACTGATTTTTCAAAACACTTAGGATTTATCCAACTAACATTCTTGGGATTCAGCAAAAGATATGCCCTTGACACCAGAGTGGCACTTTTTTTCCTTCTGCTAATTCTCTGCTTCAAATAAACAACCTGCTAGAGCTTCTCCACACAACAGCTATGAGAGTACTTATAGCATTGGCCAAATGCTGGCTAATACCTTAAAATAAAATACATGAATCAACATCTAAAAGACAATTTGGTAGTGAAAATCCACCTAACAATTCTGAAGAAGTATATGCAACACGATACAAGGTCTTTTGTGTAAAACTTTAAACAGCATTAAGCAATGTTATCCTATCCCTCTATGAACCAAATATATATGCCTTTTATGCAAAAGGTACAATACCTGGAAATTGGAGCTAGATAAATGCCAGAAATAGCTACACACACTTTTGCAGGGAATAATGATCTAGAATTCCCAGTCACTAACAGCATGTCATCCATTTCTACACTGACTGTTTTGAAGCTCATTTTTCAGAAAAGCTGAACATTCAGATCAGTAACTGGACTCAATGAGAACAGAGAACATGCAGCATTAGTATATAGTTTAAGGTGTTTAAGTGACCGCTTTTTTTTCTGACATTAAAATCTATTATTTTTGCAACATCGTCCTTATGTTATCAATAGTGTAACAGTATCCTTAATGTACAAGGCACTGAAAGGATAGAGAAGAAACAGACCCTGCTTCTACAGCTCACCACCTAAAATCACAACATAAAAATGAGAAGGAAAAGTAGTAAAATGTATATGGTTACTTTAAAAACATTTTCTCCCTCAATATACAACTGTTCCTCTACTTAGTTTAATTCTTTCAAATGTTTTTGTAGAAGTGAGACCTAAGAAAGGATCTGAAGGGGGATAGATTAGTGACCCTAAGGCTACCTTAAATGAGGTTCCCAGCTTAAAGAACAGGACAGAGAAAACCATGCAAGTAACTAGAGGAAAAGCATGGAAACAGTCTGGGGAGGCTGCCACTGGGAGAGCAGCAGAAGCACTACCTACTCGGAGTCTCAAGCCTCAACTGTGCTCCTCTGTAACGTGATTTTTTTTTCAACCAGTTAAAAAACAGTATACATAATATACATATCTTATTTGTCACAGTACTATTGGAAAAATAAAGGTATGTCAAAAAATCTCTAACTTCCATCCATGCCGAAGAAGAAAGAAGACGCAGCTCACAGAATTTTCTTTCCTTTTTAAATCTGTCTTGTACTTTCTGCTTCATTTCCTAGACACAGAAGAGCAGCTGTTCTAGAGAAGGCATTTTAACAAATCAGCTATATTGACTGTGTTTGCAGTACTAGTTTCTAGATCTCTTTTGCTAGGAAAAGCATCACACAGTCACCTCATCCCCATTTCCAGGAAATCTGAGTATCTGTCATTTTTCATTGTCACTTATTCTTCTGGTATTTTATTTTTTTTTCCAAGGGCCACAAGAAGTAGGCTCATTTCTTTACACCTTAGTTTCAAATACAAGTGTAATGGCTGAAGAGAAACATTTGAAAACTCAAACTCCAAACACTTCAGCATCAAAAGGCAAGAGGTCTTTAATCTCCCGATTTTTAAGTAAAGCCTTCGAAATAGTGAGATTTATTAAAGATTTATGAACACCTAGGAAAACATCCCCTCTAGCATTCTTTGCTTTCAACAATGAGGGAGCTTGTAAATCAGCAAGTCCAGCAGGCTTTACTGGAAAAGGTTGCTCATCAGCCATTTTGCAGCCCTCATGTAGTGACTGGGTAGAGCACCAGCATTAAGAGATCTCCAAGACCACTTTCATTACCTCTTGACTGACACATGACCATATTGCTCCTGGCTTCTGGTTTTAGGGGCCTGAACTTTTGCTGCATTATCCCTGCAGGTTACAGAGTATCACAATTCAACTGAAAATCTAATTCCTCTCCAAAGAGGAAGCAGTATGAATAGTAATCAAAGCGGAGTCATCCAGTTCAGAACATTTTAAATGGTTTTATACAAGGTTTGCTTTCAGTTCAATCTTCAGGCCCTAAAATGCACATAAAGTGGCAGAAACAGCACATATGGGAAAACAGAACAGAACGTGGCTTCCAGTTGCCATGCTTAATTACAGTTGCTAATAAGGACATATAATAGATAACAATTACTTCAATTGTCAGGGCTGTATTTGCCCAGAATTTCACTTAGCAAGTATATTTAGTGACTTAAAGCACACAAAGGTTCAAACTAAACATTTTAGTTTAATTTCGTAATTTAATTTTGCAGTGAACCCAATCAAAATACCTTTATAAATATATGAAGAAAAACACATCTTGCAGCTGTATGTTCTTCTGCACAGCATGTTAGACACAAAAGGTGCATATAAACTATAATGTGAGGCTCTCCAAAATCCGTATTTCCTCTGTACATGTTTTTATGTTGTCTGTTTGCCAGTTTTCACAGTGTGTTTAAGTAAAAGCCATTATTTGGTTAGTAAATACCATTTAAATCATATTTTAGTTAGCATACCCTTCCATAAAATGTTAACACCACTGGTAAAATGACTCCTTTTCATAGATCAGACTAATAAAATATGGTAAGTCATAAACACACATTAAAATGGGAAATTTCATTGCTCAGCCTATCTGGTACAACATAAAACCAGTTCTAGTAAATTCCCTTTGACTCCACTAATAGGAAAAAATATTATCTAAACTGATAAAAGTAAAAGATTTTAAAATTCATTAAACATGATTTACCAGGAGAGAAATGTCTTTAATTGATAGGAGTTCCTGTCATCTCCCAAATAAATTCAGATTCATACGGTATATCACACACAATGTAAGAAATAATTTTGTACAGTGCGGCTGGTGACATGTATAATTAAAGTAGCTCAACACTCTGTGTTACAGGCTGCTTTCAGTTTATGTATTCAAGCTTAAATTATGTATGCTATATATTTACTGAGGAGGGCGGAGGAAGAAGATAATGCGGTTAGACTATTTGCAGAATGAGGATTGATTTGAAAGATCATTTTTATCCTTTAATGAAAAACCCTGTAAGATTAAGTACTTAAGAAATTCAGTTTTCTCCATGTTCAAGAGGAAGGAACTAAAATTTGGCAGCCTAGACATACTGTTGCAAAGGTGTGCTTTTACACAGCATGTTTATTTATATTAAGCATTCCCATGTTTGACCATACTTGATGAACCAGAGATCTGCAGGCATTTAACAGCTTTGCACCATGTATATCCCTAACCAAGACTATCGGAGCTGAACACGAATTTTCCTGCAGTAAGAATTTTTAGCAGTTGCCCAGCACCACAGAAGCCTGAGCTCAAACTGACCCCGAGGCTCTGCCTGCTAGCAGCATGACAGAGAAAGTGGAATTAGTTTAACTGGAACATAAAACAGACGGACAATACCAGAATTAAGAAGCCAAAGAACCTTAATTAAGCCCCGCTGGGTATAGGCATTATGATAATCTTTAATTAGGCGATCACAAACTTTTTTTCCTACAGTATTCTTGCCCCATTCACTGAACATATTCAACATTTTCTTTCCATCTGCCTCAATGTGTGGTCCTGAATAATCCTAATTCTGGCATTTCCTATATTTCAAGCATTTATTTCTTACCTTTTAAAAAACTTCAATATAATGGTTTGCATTTAACAAATGTAATAAATTACATATAGGAGCAGTGGAGTAAACAAAGCACTTTGTTCAGCGAGTTCACTGGACAATATCCACAGCCTTCATAAACACCACCATAAAAACAAAATATCACTAATTGGCACCTTGCTAGCAAGCCCAGGAAAAAGGCCAGGCACTGAGTAGGTGTTGGAGATCGGACCTGCACTCAGCCCCATGCTTCAGGGAGGTTCTCCTAGGGCAGGGGAGGGATTTGCTAGCAAGAAAGGGCTTGAGTGCTTTTGAATTGTACTGAAATGGGATGTTCTGGGGGAAAAATGGGAAACAACAGCCTTGGCTGAGCAGCACTTACTTCAAGTTGTGATATACTTGTATGATATTGTGACTACCAAACAAAAAAATAAATGCAAGGGAGTACTTAAGAGACTTTTGGATATCTGTGGCATTTTTGGAAAGCTGATTAGTCAATTGAAAAATTGCCTGCAGAATATGGAAATCTTGATAATTACTAGAACTACTGCAATAAAAGCAAGCAAACAAAAAAACACCAGAACAGGAAAAAATACCCTTGGTTTTCAAGTAAGGCACATCAGGGACCCAACAAACAAGGGAGCCATGGAAGTCATTTGTCTCACTTACAGAAGTGGTGCTAGGTAAACACATGCTAGATAAATATTATTGTTTGGGAAACTGCTACGCTATTTTGAAATCAAATTCTTTCTCCCGAGTCAGGATTTATTAGAGTTACATTGCTTACACAGAACCTGGAAACCCAAATACGCCTTCAGATCCTCTCACACGCTGTTAAAAAGAAGAAGGGGGGGAAAAAAAAAAAAGCTGCACACACCGAGGCAGGAAAATTACAGCCTCGCATTTTCAACGCTGGAGTTAATGCTGTGTCAGCACCTCCATCAAACCCCGTTGTTCAGCAGTTTATAAAAAAAGCTCGCTCCCAGCCCCAACTTGGCACCCACCCCGCCGAGGGGAGGGCAGCGGCTGCTCCCTGGGGGGGGGCACCGGGGTGGGGTGAGAGCCCCTCCAAACCACCCCCTCGCCCCGCCGGGGCTGCCCCGGGTCCCCCTCGGTGCCTCCTTCACCTCCTCCAGGGCGGCGGCCACCAGCGCTGCCTCCCAGCTCTTCGCAGCCGGCCCCGAGTTGGCGGTGGCGGCGGCAGCGGCGGCCTTGGGCCGCTTGGGGCCCATGGCGGTGCCGGCAGCGGGCTCACGCCTCACGCGTCGCCCTGGCGACCGGCACCCGCCCGCCCTGCGGCCCGGCAGCGGCTCGGGGCCTCGGGGGTTGCCGTGTTGGGAACGGGGCCGTGGTGGGTTGGGGACACGGCAGCGGTGCTGGAGGCTGCAGGTGTGGGCGGCGAGGCAGCCCCCCCAGCCCCACAACGCACCCCCAGCGCTGCCAGATGTGGCTGCGCCGGGAGCAGGAGGGGAGAGAGGGAGGCACGGTTGGGAGAAAGCAGGAGGGCTGCCAAGATAAAGAATTCATTACAGAGGAGTCATGTCGTGATCTCACACTGGAGACGAGTGAAATATTCTGTGTGATTTAACATTTGGTGAAAATACCCCAAACCACATGGTGCCCTTCCCCCCACCCGGTTGTACCGACCAGCGCTGCTCAGAGCCTCCAAATCTTTTATTTTAACTTCGCAGGAGTCTTTCAGCCACGCTGAGCAGCCCGTTACTGCTTTAGTCTGAATCTTATTCTAGGAGGATACGGACCTCATGTATGTGCTTTATAAAAACACCTTTAATTACAGGCTTTTAGTGGAGAAATAGGAATTCAGGTTTATAAGGAACATAAGATACAAGTCTTGTATCATCCTTCGTTTGCAGAAGTGTATCTTGCCCGGGTTTGTAGACAATGATGTAGTTTATAACATGGGAAAGCTGCACAGTAGATTTGCCAACATCCATAAACATTTTCCCCCACCCCATTTCTTGGCTGATGTCCATTTTTCTCGTTTTGAAGTTTTCTTTTGTTGTCCAGGAAAGAAAAAAAACCTAAAATCAGACTGCAATTGTTCACAGAAACAGGGATTGTGACATTTCCACCATACCCTTGTTCTTCATTAAGGTCTTGGATATGCAGACTGTGCCTGCTGAGGTGTATTGAGAGAGTATGGGGAAGGAGGATCAGGCTAGGAACAGCTGTTAATACAGCAGGACAGGACAGAGGTATGGGGCAGAAGGCACAGATAAAGTTGCCAAATGCCTTTACTATTAACTGACCTTCTTTTTTATGGCTCAGTTTTCAGGGTTGGATGTGAGAATCAGGATGACCGACTGGTGGGTTCTGCACCCAGCTCCTGATGGTACGGCTGGAAATACGCACCACCATGATGTCAGTGAGAGATGAGGACTGCTTAAAAGCACTGCCTGCTGTGCCCACACCTGGGTCTGTAAGCTCAGGGTTGTTGGAAGGCTAAAAGACAGGAAAGTCACAAACAGCTCAGAGAACATGAACAATAGCTGTGAGAATCATGAACTGGCCTGGTTTTATCTATTGTGTGTTTGCTTGGATGAATAAGGATTAGTTAAAGGAAATTGTTTTGTTTTGCTGCTTATCATCTTACTAAACACATCTAGCTAACTTGCTGTTTATTGTTGTTGGATGCTGTAGCAAACAGCGAGTCAAGCTGAAGCAGGACAGCTGATCACTGGGAGCTTAAAATGACCTCCACCACTCTCCCGAACAAAGGAGAGAAGGAAATTATATTTATTCCTTCTTACAAAGGGCCCCAGTGTATTGTTCTAAAATAGGTTCTCCACTAATGAAGTCAGCTAAAGATGTCTCCTGTTTGGCTGCTTGTCCTTGTCCATTCAGTTGTGCTGCCAAAGATGCTTGTAGGCCAAGCTATAAACCAGATCATTGAAACCCTCTTGGTTAAATCCTCCAACAGACAAAAACAACAAATCAAAAATATTGGGAAACTATGGCTTTTGTTCCCTCCAAGTCATGCAGACTGCAAAACGCCCAGTTGTCGCCGAGCCATCTGAAAACCTCCAGCTTCCTTCTGATAACTGAGATGAAGTTACTGGAATCTTAAATCTTGTATTAGCATAACTGAATGTAATTCAACTATACTTATAAACCAAGAATGAAAGTAATATGCAAAATAAGGATCCAGAGTGACTTTATGTGGTTTGATATACATGCTAAAAAGGAATTCACAGATGTAAAACTGCCATTTCTACACAGAGAAATTGGTTCTGCCATTAGAGCAAGAGTTAATGGGCAAATCTGTAATGACTTTTTGTATGACAGGAATATTGATGATGAAATTTGCAGTGGCAACCTTAAAATTTTCAAGTCACTTTTTCATTTTCTGTCTTATTAAAAAACAAATATGAATACATGAACAAATGACAGTGGAGTAACCAAAGCTGTGACTTTAAAATAAACTTGCAATTCTAAATAATGCTGTGTGTAAATACAAGGCAACTTGCATTTTCCTGGGAGAGGAGTTAACTACTCCCTATATTCTCAATTTGTACAACAGGGTAAGAAAATATGCAGGTTAATGCTGCAGTGTAGCTAGACACAGTAACATTCCTGTGCCCGCGTATTTAATAATAATATAGAAGAGATCTTTCCTTCTAATAATATAGAAGAGAAGTAGGTATAGTACCTACATCCTTCAGGAGGAAGAAACACTATTTGCCTTTTACTGTAGTGTGATTTAAAGAACATTTGCTCATACTTGCTCTCCAGTAAAGGGCGAAGAGTGAAAAGATACTACTAGTTGTAAAAATCATGTCTTCTCTACTTGATATTTCCTGAAAGACTACAATTGACTGAAGAACTAGTAGAGATTTTGGATCTTAAATAATTAAAGCCTGACCAGCTGAGAGGGGAATTAATTTTAATTTTCTTTTTTTTTTCTTTTTTTTTTTTTCTTTCTTTCTTTTTATATATATATGCATGTTTTTAAGTGATTATTTTAAATGCTTGACAAATATTTTGAAAAAACGATCTTCTCAGTAAGAACCATCAACTTCTCTCCTTCAGCTGACAAGTCAGCAAAGAGTGTTCTTTGCTCAGGTTGTTAAGAACACGCTTAATTACTTTATATTGCTTTCCTAGGATTTAAATGTTTAAATGTTTCTTAAACAGCGAGGCTTCCTGAATTATAGCTTCAGAAAGCTGTTTCCATTTTGGAAAACTTTCCAGAAGGCTGTCTAGAACAGCTAACATGGCCTTCAGCACTGCTAAGGAAAACAGTCCTTCATATTCCTTCATATTCCTTACATTTCTAAAAGAAGAAAGTTTTTTTTTTTTTTTTTTCTTGAGAACACTTCGTGGTTTTTTTTTTTTTTTTTCCCCTCAGAAATGAAGAGGGAGAAGACCATAAAACTCATGTCGCTTTCCTTTTCAGTTTCATAGGGCTGTAGCACCCAGGCTGGGAACTGTTTTTCTTGAAGTCTGCAACCCCCCAGGACACAACCATCTCACAAGTTACACAGATTTGGCAGCCATTGCATGTGTTTCCCCAGCCTCCCTGAAATTCCACATATCAAGTTGGATGTAGGAGGTCTTTGCCTACAGTTGCTGCTCTGGCCACCAAATGCTTCCTTGCAATTTGTTTCTCAGTTTCTAAATTTGTTTATGCAGTTTGCATAAAGCTTCCCACATGAACTACATTGGCCTTGTGGACGTAGACCAAGTAATATGTTTTGGCGTCAGGACCTATAAAGCTTATTTCTACATCAGTGAATTATCAGTGCAGTTTAGTGCAGTTTAGTTAACAATGTGCCCTGAAAGGAACAAAAGTTGAGCATAAATATATTAGCACAGTCCCCTTCTGAGTGTGGCAAGGCAGGCTTATAATATTTCTGGCAACAAAAGTCACTAATTTCTTAATGGATCTGTTCTAACCATGATGAAACAATAAAATAAACCCTGTAAAATAAACAATAAACAATAAAACCTTCCTCAGACTGTAACAGGCCTTCATAATACAATCACGTAGGAGGTGCTAGATGATGCTGAACTGTAAGATCACGCAGGAGTGGTTAGAGAGAAAGAAGGCACTTAAATGTAGAAACAGTACAATTCTGCCCGAGTCAAATCTACTGGCCAAGTGGCAAGGTCTCCGCTCTGAATCAAAGCCACTGCACGTGCTTATCAATAGACATAACCTGTAAATATGCTGCTTAAGCCTGTCCATCTAATAATGTGGCCAAAATCAAAGGAAGCTGTTTATGTTCTCCTCTCCCCCAGGCTCTAGCATTTGGTGTTGGTGGCCAGCCATTGTTTTTTCTTCACTCATATTTTCCGTCAAGCTGAGTTACAAATGTATGTAGCCTCTGTTGTTTATCAATAATATAACATGCAGAACAAATCAAACTTCTTTTATATATACAAATAAGCTTACATTTAAGAGCCTCCACCAACTTTGTTTTACTGAAAAGAAAAACCAAAAAAAACCCACACCACCAACAAACCAAACCTTACAAGGCCCTGCATTTAATTTCAGAAAAGATGCTTTCATAGCCTAGTCTCTCCCACGTGTATGCATGTGCAAGGAGAATGCTTTTTCCTCTCTGTAGCCAATGATATAGGGATTCCTGGCAAAGCTCAAAATGAAATCCATTATCATCTGTCAGTAAAATGACTTCCAAATTCCAGCTGGATGCTGTGCAAGTCTCTTTAAAGAAAGACTCCCCCTGCATTTGGTATTGTAGTTCCACTGTCTCTCGGTAACTGGATTTTGGAATCAATTCATTGTTGCCAGTCACTAAAAAAAGTCCAATTTCTGATATCTCAGGCCTTATTCTTGCATCTTCCAAAACAAATCATGAGGTTTTTATTTTTCTCCTTGAAGAAGTAAATTCAAGGAAAACATTTGCTCACCCTTGGCAAAAGCCAAAGTCCCCATGCCCTCTACAACCTTATCCTTCTGCACATTCAAATCCTTTATCATTGCATACTTCCTTCTGGCATAAAAGCAGTATATTCCCTAAGGTTAGAGAGTCCTCCATTCTGATCTGCTTCTGTAGCACTCCTACCACTGTCAAGAAAGGGAATCTTACACAGTAGTGCTGAGCACAAACCGCTAACCTTTCTCAACAGCCAAACAAAGCAAAGTCTAAATAAATGGAATTTGAAACATTATACTCTTACTGGTGCAAAAATAAAACTGTTTCTAATCCACTGAAAACAAACATTAACACCATGGAGGGTAAACAGACCTAAGATTCATGCCAGAGCTTGCGCTGAAAGTATTGATAATAAGTGGTGGAAAGACATGGTGGGTTTGTTTGTTTATTGTTTTAAAGGAGAAGACATTAGTTCTAACAATCTATGCAGTCTGAACTAGAATTGCAGTAATTAAATAGCTAGGATCATAATTCTTTGACTTTGATGTCCTAATTCTGTGAATTCATATTTGGATGCTTTTTAACTGTGAATTTTCTGAGAGTAATGTCCAACTGTAAAATAAT